ACTATAGAGATATTGGCAGAAGCAGATGTAGGTATGTTTACTTAAAAAATGTAATACTTTTCTTGTGTCTTAAAAAATGTAAAATAAAATTTAAAAAAAAGAAATAAACAGGGCAAGTTTTCTTTGAAGCACCCCTTCAATACGGGTTAACTATGGGGTATATTCCTGTTTATACAGACTTTCCATTTCCTGTATCTCTGTTACATGAGAAATGAACAGTGTGAGTAGAAAGCAACCAATTTATACATTAACTAACAGCCACTGTAATAGAGTCATGGCTGCAATCTAATTGCCAGTACTAGAAAAATGTGTAAAATGATTAAAATGACTTCTAGCCTCTGAACACAGCCTTTTCTAGTGCATCCTTTTCATTCATATACTCTAACATTGACGGATAATTGGTACAATCATATCGGCCACAGTTTCTAACATATTCAAGAAAATCTGGAGCTCCGGGAATAATGACATTGTCAGCCAGTATGACAGAACCTTTTCTCAGTAAGTTACATTTCTGCAGGGACAAAAAATAAAAACATGTTAAAAATGTACACGTTTCCCCTCATGTATTAATTTGAGCATCATACCTCCAAAACGAACTATATCTGGATAAATCAACATGGGAAAACATACTTTGCACGAGGTACATTTATTCATTTGTTTTTCATGGCAAATTCTGATTCATTTGTGTATAAAGTAGTAACATATTCAACTATGCTGTAAAACCAATGAAGGCTCGCTAAGTTCCACAATTTTTCCTTCTTGCAATCAATGGCAAACTGTCAGCTGGAGCTTGTGAATCAAATTAAGCATAACAGTATGCAAAATTGGTGCCTTTTTCAATCTTCCTGCTGCCAGAATGTTTACATAATCTCTTGGTCGCCAGTACGGTTCCTGTCTTTCTTTACTATCCTCGTTCCTCCGTCTCATAAGCAGACTTACCTGGCAGACGTGGAACCTGCTGCACTTTTCACAAGAGCAGCTGGCAAGGCATTTTAAATCTGCATTTACAATTGTTATTTTTAATGCAACTAGCTGTCAATTTCG